CACAATTGCTAATTAAATTTCTGTTGACTTGCTCATCATTCATTTATCAACTAATCTTTTCAGCTCTAGTAAAAGTGTTTGACGGTTCTTTATGGGTAAAGATTGAGAGAAGAATCGATCAGGTAGTGTAAAATGGGTGCCTTCTGCAGTGATAGAATCAAGTGATAAAGGAGAGAAGCACCTCAGTGATGCATCAGCAGTGGTCAATAAGCAAGACATGAGGCCTGCTGTAATTGTGCACCACAAAATGACTATAGCTTGTCATTTTAACTGAGGTGATGAAAGCTGCAAAATAAAGACATTACTCCAATAGTGGTATAGCTGGGAGGACAGGCTAGGGAGTTTCCCCTTCTTGTAACCCAACAAACTAGCCGAGGGAGGACAACTGCTACTTAGCATGCGGTGGAACAGTGACTCATCTTTTCCTCCTTTGATTTATTCACATTATGTTTGAAATGACACACGTGTCTCCTAACTCAGGGACTGACGATAGAAAGGTTCCCTGGGTGAATTTAGAGACATGACGCTGTCTGCAGAAGCTGTAATGCCAACAGTTGATGGATCATCAATTCTGAAATGGTCTTGTGCGAATTAAGATCAAGATGTCTACAAAAACCACTCATCTTATCATAAAACAGAATCATTTTAATAACCCGAGTCTGACTTAGACTACAAAAAATGTCCAGAGATCAAATATTTATTAAATAACATCTCACAGTTAAGTTAAAGAAAGGCATATTCCTTCAACTGCACTGAGTAAAAAAGCAGAATGTGACATGACACAACCTTTACCACATTTATCAGTGTAAACTGTCTGCATCATTTACATCCCAGTGTCCCTAATTAACACCGCTAACTTGCACCTTCTAAATAGTTGACCAAATCAAAGTGTAATGAAATCTCAACTACAGATGATGTGCACATGAGAACAGTGTAGAGACTTGTGGTGCTAATATGAGAAATAGTAACACTTCGTGCCAGTGATGTTGCATAATTAGCAAGGTCCTTATCATATAGTAATTCATAAATGTGTGCTTTCCTTCTGCAGTTACTGTGTCTAGAGCTGTGCGATAATCACACAGCAATAGGTACCAAAGTGGACCACAGCAGGAGTCCAGTGTCACCCATAAGGTAGCTACTCATCATTTCATTTCCAGCTGCATTGTTTAAGTATATGATTACCAAACAGGAAAGTGCTCAAAGGTGCCCTATTACTTATAGAGGAGACCTAAATGAAACTTCAGCTGTGAAAAGGATCTTGAGCACAGCCCAGATGTTAGATTAACTTTCAATAAAGTCAATATCAAGTGATTACAAAAACCCACCCTCCACCAAGAATCACTATCTAACTAACCTAATTAAGTGCTGCTATTAATGCCTGGCTGGGTGTTAAAATGAAATGTGGTTGGGAACAGTGCAAGATGTAGCATAATGGGTAAAGAGGAGGATCCAGACAGCATTCAAGGAGGGATTATTTTAACTGCACACAGACATGTAAAAGAGAGAGGGGAAAGCGGGAAATAAAAACCCTCTGGCATCATGTCCCAAGAATGTCAGCAATGAGCTCACAGACCACATCCCAACACTTAAGAGTCAGAGTCGGAATCACATCCAGACATATAACAGCACTGGAAGAAAGAGAGGGATTGCTGTGGAATGCCTCCGCGCGAGAAGGAGGCCTTCTCTGACAGTCCAATGAGCATCTCTCTCTACATCACATGACACAATCCCACAAATGGTTCTGAAATTGTTCCATGCTGCCAAACGTTTGTCTTGAAGGGAAAAAAAAGAGTGAGAGAAAGGTATACAAGGGGAAAGTGACGCAGAGAGAAGTTCTGAAGAAAGTTGGAAGGAGACAGGACAAAATCTAAAGCGATATGCTTTACTGCATACTTCAGGCTAGGTCACTACAAGTACAGAATAGACCTACTGTAAAACAAACATGATCTGGGATGACCCAAGCTGCAGAGAGAAGTGGGCTAGAATGGAAATACATGGACATGTAATTAACACATAGAACAACAGCAAAGAGAGCGAAGACAGGACATTTTAAAGGGGGTGGGGTGGGGCGGAAAACAAGTAAAAGAAAATGGCTGGGATTGGGATGATGATTTGGGATACATGACAGAATCAGTTTTATTCAAATGTGCTAGGTGTTGAAACGTGTCCTTAGAGAGAAAAACCTGAAAGACAAAGAGAACAATAGACAAAGAAAAGAGACAGTGTGACCTAACAACAACAAAGCAGACAAACTGAGTCTGTAATGCAGCTAAACAACTGGCTGAACAGACTAGTCTGGTCCTGTCCCTTCGCTTCCCTCTCTGTCGTTCTCCCTCCTGCAGCCTCCACTGGTCGATCTCATGCTCTCTTCCTATGAGCACAGGGAACATGCTATAGCAGCAGAAACAGCACATGACAAGGTGACCTGTGGTCCACACAGGATGGGGTAAACTGGGGTAGAAGGGGTGGACGGTCCCGTGTCTCATGTCCAACCCTATGGTCTCTGCATAACCCCCCCCCCCAGGCCCCACTGCTGATCTGAGAGAGAGAAAGAGAGAGAGAGAGGCAGTGACGGCAGCTTGCCCCCTTACACTGGGCCCCTTGCTGGACTGTGGAGAGGGGAAGGAGACGAGGCACGGAGAGGCCCACTCAAATGCGCACCAAAAGTCCTGTTTAAGTCTATGCTGAGAATGACAGAGAATGGACACACACAGCAGAGTGCCCACAGAAAGCTGACTGGACAGACATCAGGGTGAGGTGGGCGCAAATGCATGTAACCCACAAGCTAAAGTTATATAGCCTCCATAAAATGCTGTCTCTCTATCAAGTAATACAGATGGGTGACAACTGAAAGGAAAAACCAACAGAATAGTGTCTCAGTAAAGTGTTGGGCCACCAGAACAGCTTGTATGCTTCCTGGCATTGATTCTACAGGTCTCTGGATTCTGCTGGAGGGATGAACACCGTTCTTCCAAAAGGCATTCCCTCATTTGGCGTTTTGATGTTGGCAGTGGAGGCGCTGTCTAACACGTCACTCCAAAATCTCCCATAGGTGTGACCTGGTGACGGTGAAGGCCACAGCATATGAGTCACATCATTTTCATCCATATCAAAACATTCAGTGACCCCTCATGCCATGTGGATGGGAGCAATGTCATCCTGGATGAAACCACCCATTTATTCAGTTTTTCTTTCAGTTTGTCACCTGTATGTACTTCTCTTAAAACAATGCAAACTGCCTGGCATTTGTACTTCTATTAAAAACTCAACTCTTGGGTAAATAAATGTACATTTATAATACAATGTAATGTGTGTCACATGTAATGCATTATTACATTGATATTTAGAAAGCAATCAAGACATGCACCCACTGGCCTGTATATCAAATAGGGCATGTTTTGCTTGCACTCCGTGCACAACAAATCTTACCCATCTGACATGTTTGGCCTAGACACTATCAACTACAGGCGGTAATAGATGACCCAAAGACATTAAGGGCAAATGTATTAGTCTAAAAGACAACAGAGCATATATGAAAAACAACATGCATGCTCAGGGGTACATACAAGTGGATCTTTCCAGTTAGGCACAGCGGCCTCTTTCTTTCTATAGGGTTACATGTGAGAGGAAGCAACCAATTGCTATAGTCACGAGAGGGGGGAAGGGGTAGGGTATTTCACTGTATAGGCGATCTAATGGACTGTACCATCACAACAGCACACAGCTCCATAAACAACCTGCAACAATCATGGTCAATAAAAGACACAATCTGAGCCCATTTCATAGCTCCCCACTACTGGTCTGTGCTCAGTTCTGACGCATGAAATGAAAATTAATTCCAAAGCTCCAGCACACTCTGTCCTCATTTGTACAAAGTCTCCAGTACATTCCCAAATAATACAGCTTCCCTATTAAAATTTCCACATCATTTAAATTCAGAACATATGTGACTGTTGATCTTAAGGCAGCTAAGATACCGAGAGGGGAAACCATGTTTATTTTATTTTTTTCTGAGCAGTTGACAAAAAACAACATCCTACCTGCTATGTTTCAAGTGTCAAACTGTTTCATAAACAGAAATTTATATATGTAAGAAATATAGCACTGGGCACACTGATACACGTCACTAAGGCAGGTAGGAATATATTCCCCTTGCTGTCGGCTGTATTTGGTCCCTTCAGATGAACTTTTAAATGATTAGCAGCAGAGAGGGAAAAGACAGAGATGCTTGTAGTAATGAATAATCTCATTATTAGCCACTTGGTCAGGTGCTGGCTTCTGTGTATGATTGTGAAAGTGAGTCCTTCTGCACTCTGATAGCATCAGGACATGGTTACATGCAGGGAAGTTTAAAAGTACGGTAGGTTCTATGACAAGAGCTGAATTCTGCAGGTGTAGTTGTAACCACAGCATCTTGTCAGTATTTTGTTATGTCTTTATCAACACAAGAAAAAAAAATTAATCGATATTACAGTGTGTTATAAAATGGTGGTTAAGCAGGTATGGCCTCATTTGGACAGGGGAGAACACTGTGTCTAAATAAACAAATTCCTTTTCAGTTCTGCAAATGTAATTACACAGCAATTAAAGTCAGGCCTCCGTTTAGGTTTTATGAATTTCACAGACTTAGATTATATCTTGACAATTATATTTACCAAAGTTTTATAAAGTACTGATATCTGCAGTTCACATAGGGTGAATATGTCACTTCAGCAGTTATATTACAGCTGTATTAAATGTAATACTTAATACTGCTCAACTTATTCCTCAGAAATTTCTTTTTACAAGTGACAGTGAATTGATTTATTATAACCAAACCATGATACTGCAATCGTAGAAAATCTGTACAAAAATGTTTAACTTGAAAGCAACGTAAATAATCACTTAGTAACACGTGAATAGACATTTTCACCCTGTATCTTTTCACAGACGACCCAGAATAAATATTCTCGAGTGTACATCACCAGGTATTGATTAAAAGCAAATTAAATATGTCTCACCTGAGGTTTTTAGCATGCCCTGGCAGGACAGGTAAAACGTGGAACCTTTCTTAATCCTGTTAATCCTGTTCAATACAAGAGCAAAATGGCACGTCTCAAGTCAGTGAATGGGCCTTTTCGCTGGTACGCGACCTGCAGTTTCTGTTTATGTAACGGTGAACTATTTGGAATAGTAACATAGACACTTACTGGTAACAATCACGCAATTAGGTAAGTACAAAGCACTTAATTGATTCAAAGACAACTGTACAGCGCTACATATTGAGCCTTTTATGTGATCTTTGAATAAGAGCAATTACAATAACTCAAGTCTCGACTGTAGCATTCCTCCTGTGCATGCGAGTTTCATACCTCAGCTCAACTTTTCCCCATCAAGGCAGAGCTGCTTTTAATCCTCTTAGTTGCCGTTCGTGGTCGTCTTCATGCTCTTGCAAAGTGTGTCCTCTCCATGCTGACTAGATTAGCTCTGAGGAGAATGGACCGCGTTGTACTAAACTCGGAAATGTGAGGCGACTTGGGGAGAAAACGTCAAACTCATCCGCCCTTCCAGACGTCGGCTCTCACAGCAGCGCTGGTAGTGGCTAAAGCTAGCGTGGCTAGCTGGCTGCTTTAACCCTGTATCTCGCCACTAAGTTCAGCCAGCTTATTAACTGTTCTGCGACCGCGGCTACGAAAATGCAGCAGAGCACATTTGACACACAAGTGGATGTCACTGACAGGCAAAGCGCACGAGCTAAGGTGGAAAAAAAAAACTCAGTCACACCTACGCTGGTCAGTGGAGAAATATCACGCCTTCCCCACAACCCAAATAAATGGCCATTACTTTTTTGTTTG